TAGAGTGAAATGTTTTAAATTAGCATCTCCAAAAGAAACCCAGGGAGGCAAGATGCAGAGCTTTCCAAGATGCTTATCTACTTGCTGCCTTCAAAACAAACACAGGGGAAGACACAGAAAAACAAGGGAGTCTTCTGAAACTAAATTCGCTGATAGGCAGGGAAATGGGATATTTCCTGAATCATGGGACAAACTGTGAGACACTGAAAAGGTGGAGAATGTCTGTGCCCCCAGAAATCAAAACGTTTTCTCCAAGTAATTCCAAACAGGTAGCAATCACCTTGTTCTTTTAAGAAAGATCTATCCCCACAATTACTCTGCCTGAGGAGATTGCATTCTCATGATTTCCTTTGCTTCTGTTATCCCCAGTCCAGGTTTTTACCTTCAGATGACAAGTACCTGAGCTCAGGAAGATCAACTCTTGATGGCAATGCCAGGAGAGAATATAAGTAAAGCTAACCTACTTTTTCAGCAAATTGCTATTGCTCACTTTTTATTGGAGTGAACACAGCATTTTCGTTTGGTCAAACTGAAGAACTGTTTCCTTGACCAACTTCAAAAATTTCAAGCGGAAAAAAGAAAATTCAAAGATGAACAGCACTTAACTCTAATGACATCTCACTATGCCTTTTGACTCAAGCCTTCAAGCCTTATGACAGTGGATTTTTCCCCTTTTTGACTGAAAAGGTAAAAACGTGCCACTCTTTGTCACCACTTTACATTCACACTATTTGCACAGTGGTATTTCACTATTAACCCTCAAAAAGAACTGGCAACCTCTTTGCTGAACTGCTGTACAAATCACCTGGCAGGAGGTTTGCTGAAGTGACAATTAAAATTTTAAGTCTTTTTCTCAATAATTCCTGTGCAATGAGAAAATTTGCTGTACAAGAGTTTCTCCCTTACCTTCCTGAAGTATTACCTCCAAATTTTTAGTTCCTAGTCCAATCAAGGAATACCTGAAGTTCTGACAGGCTACATCATCACTTACTGTTTGCAACAAAGAGACTTCTGGGAAAATTGATATTCCTTTCTAAATACAGTATCACAAAACAATGCATCATCAAAATATACCTTTATAAATTCTAACTTGACTTAGAGAAAGGAAAAAGAGTAATCAAAATTAGTTCCAGGCCTTAGAGACTGGTATTTTTCAGGCTCTTAGAATAATGTATCAAGACTTAAGACAGGCAAAAAAATCCCCTCACCTAATTTCTCTATTATACCGAGTAATAGCATTAGTTCCTTGAACAAGATCTTTAAGGTCCCTTCCAACTCAAACCACGGTGTGATTCCTTAAAATACAATTCCCCAAAAAGCATTTAAGAGAACAGTTCTTTCAAGCTTATATTCCCTTATGTCTGAAACACCATACAAATTATCATGTTATCAGGATACTATACAAGGGATCAGCACAGGTCTAGAAAGATCATGGTCCCATATTCTCACTGCAAAACCGTCTGGTTAGTATCAACCAGTGCTTCACATCAACGTTTGAAAACATTCTCAGCAAGAGGGAAATGAAGCATAGTAATGATTACATCACTTGCGGTGGGGATGCACCACTTCCCCGAAGCAGCCTATTTCCTGTAAGAGGGGCAAACCGAGGAGTACACAAACAAACATGCCTCAGTTTGAGCACATGCAGGCCTCTCCTGGCAGCAATGCCAGGTCACGGGCAGCTCCCGCACAACTGTGTGTGGGGAAGAGCAGGAGTGCCGACCAAGCCAGTGACTGGCACAACCCGATCATTGTTAGCTGGGCTTTCTCAGCTAGACTTCATCAGTTCTGCATAAACTATAGCTGCTACTGAAACACATAACCAGGCTTAATTCTGGAAAGAATCTGCAGAGCTCTATTCAAGCCCCCTTTGTTTGGTGAGGTTTTTTTTAACCAAGGAGGGAAAGAAGTGTCATGTACACTTTGAAAAACAAAACCATTAAAGGTTTGTCCTTAATTTTTCAGACAAAAATTCAAAAGAATGCGTACGAACTTACTACCCTTTTTGAAATCAGCTCACTTTATAGGCATTATACTTCACATTTTTAGGCTCAGAACGACAAAAGCAAAGATGCAGTCTTCTCACTGCAAATTTCAATGGGTATAAAATGCAGCAGGCTTCCACCTAAGTGCAAGAGCTCACTGCTAGCCTTTAAAACAAAAACAAAAATTAAGGCGCCCGGTGGACGATCAAAAGGCACTCATACACCACAGCACGGCCTTTATCAGCCCCTCACGTTTGTTTTGAAACCCAAGGAGCTGCACAGCCCCGGCCCACAGGCACCCTGACAAACCCTGCGGAGATCCCTGCCGCCGGGCGGGGCCGGCCGCCCCCGGGCCGCCCCTCACCTTCTCCAGCATCTGCCGCTCCTGCTCCAGCCCCGCCGCCTCCAGCTGCTCCTCTTCCTTCAGCATGGCCGGCGTGATCACCGTTGCCTCTGCCTGTTCACCCATCTCGGTTCCCAGCGGTTCTGCAACGAGCGCACGGTTACTCACGGTTACTCACGGTTACTCACGGTCTCCCCCGGCCGTGCCCCGCGGCCGCCCCTCACCGCCGCCGCTGCCCGAGTTGCGGGCGGGC